ATGCTATCCTATCAAGAGAACAAATGATACCAAATGCTGGCGAGGATGTGGAGAAAGGGGAATGTCCATTCACTGCTGGTGGGACTGCAAACTCGTGCAACTCCTATGGAAAACAGTGTGGAGAACTGTTAAAAAACTAAAAATGAACCTACCATATGACCCAGTTACACCACCCCTTGTCATATACCTAAAGGACTCATCCTAGTATAGAGATACTTGTACAACCATGTTTGTTGCTGCTCTTTTCACAATAGCTAAGAGATGGAAGCAACCTAAGTGCCCTCAGTGGATGACTGGTTAATGAAAATGTGGTACATTTACACACAATGGAATTCTATTCAGCAGTAGAAAAGATGAAATAATGAAATTTGCAGGTAAATGGATGGATCTAGAAATGAAGTAACACAGACTCAGAAAAACAAAAGATGTATGTTCACCCTCATCTGTGGATCCTAGCAACAAATCCTTATAAGTGAGTGCATATCCTGATGCAACTGCAGGGATCAGGCATATGGAAGGAAAACAAGGAGGTAAAGGGAAAGAAGATATCCGAGAGAGAGCAATAGGATAAAGGTGTTATTATGGGAGAAATATGTAAGAAGGCTATAGTTAAGGCAGGGGTGGGGGAGAGGACTATACAAAGAACTTTGGGAATAAAGGGGGAAATTTTCTCCAGATACACATTTAAAAAAAAAGCCATAAGCACAGAAGGAACCCTATGGGGATGGAAGAAAGCCCTTCCAAAAGCAATGCAGTTGTTAAATGAAAATTCCTGTGTCAGAGGTGGGTTGCCCCCCCATGAGCTGTTGGCCCAAGGGACACTAGAGGTCCCCAAAACAAAAAAGGCCATTGCCAATAATGTTGGTTGTACACTGGAAGTGGATGGAAAATCCCCACTGCTGAAGACACTGCATGATGTAAGCATGGGAGAGGGAGAAATCAAGCTTGGACTAAGCTGGAAACTCCCTGACACTGGATGGGTGGTTTTCATGGTGCCAAAATGCAACACAAAGATGACTGAGGGAGAATAGTCCACTATAATTCTTCTCAACGGTCCCCTCATGTTGCACTATCAACATACCAAACAAGATGTTCCTGCTGGTGTAACAGTGGAGAGTCTAGTGTGCATACAACCAGAAAATTTTCAATTGGATATAATGCCCGCTCCTAGGGGTGGAACACACATCTGGTACTGTAGACCTGGTCAACCCCCTGTGGCAGGGGAGAATATAGGCTCCAGTGGGAAGTCACTGTAATTGTTTTGTTAGAAGGAAATGATGCAGCTGCTAAAGTACCAACCAAGCATTTGTGTTTATGCCAATAGGTTAAGTTATTATAGCAGTCACTGTTTAGATGTTCTTGCTTCTTGCTGCATGTGTTTTTACAGTTGATGGAATCCCACTCAAACTGGCCAACAGCCCATAGAAAACAGATGATGCAGAGACCTGAAAGTTCAATGCCTTGCCACAATGGGGGGAAGATCATCCCATACCTACCACCCTCTCCAAGGGTCAGGGACTTTTGTGGAAGAGGTTGTGGGGAAAGAATATAATAGCCAGAGGAAGGGGTGCAGTGTTAACTGAAAATGTCCTCAGATCACTATGTTGGCAAACTATAGCCACACCTCCTTCCCACCCTCATCAAGGTGTCAAGGGAGGAGTCATTTTCCCTTCCCACCCAATCAGTCAACCTTAGCTGCATGTGGGTGGGAGGGGCAAAGGATATATAAGCAGAGAACACCAAGCGGCACCCCCTCACAATTTTGTGAAGCTGTCGGGAGGTCACTGGATCTGTATCTGAGTGTGGACTTTATGCTGAAGCTATAAATGTGGGGTGCCCACCCTTCTGTAAAGAAACCACTACCCTATGCTCTGTTAATAAAAAAAAAAGAATGCAATCCTATCTAAAGGAAACAACCAGTACTCAGAGAGAGTTAGTTGCTGACACATTAAGTGTGTGGGTCTAATATGCCAGATTTTTGCATTTTATGAGAGGTTGAATATCACAAATTTTCTTTCTGAAATTAATTAATTAATTAATTAATTAATTAATTAATGAGATGCTGGGGATAGAACCCAGGGTTTTACACGTGCTAGGCAAATGCTCTCTCACTGACTGATATCTCTAGTTCTAGTAGTATAATTTTTAAATGCTGATAATTGTTGCAAATGTTCAAGAATAAAGTGGGGTGAATTTGACTCAGGATAATGGCTTAAAAATATATACTGAATAATCTTTTTTTAAAAAAATTTTGAGACAGTGTCTTATATAGCCCATGCCGGCCTCAACCTCACTATGTAGCTAAGGCCAGTCTTAATTCTTGATCCTCCTGTTTTCACCTCAACTGCTGGCATTACAGACATGTGTTACCATGTTTGTTTTATGTAGTGCTACAGACAGAACTCAGGGCAAGCACTCTACCAACTGAGTATTAATTTATCCCCAGCCTAAATTACTCAGATCCTCTAGAAGAGCAGCAAATGCTCTTAGTGGCTGAAATACTGCTCTAGCCCCCACCTAAATTTTCATTTTTAAATGTAAGATTAGTGACTGAGAATACACTATACTTCAAATTCAGTATGAGATCTTTTTACAAAACATTTGTTTATCGTCTATCTATCTATCATCTATCTATCTATCTATCTATCTATCTATCTATCTATCTATCTATCTATCATCTATCTATGTGTGCGTTTGTGTATTGGTGTGAGCACTCATGTGGAGGTCAGAGGACAACTTGCAGGAGTCAATTCTCTCCTTCCACCACATGGGTTCTGAGGACCTGATCAAACTCAGGTCCATAGGCTTGGCAATAATTGCCTTTACTGGCTAAGCCATCTGACTGGCCCTGGAATAAACTTTTAATTAGCCAAAGCAATGGTAGAAGGGAAGAGATTATAGAATCAGCATAATATTTTTCATGTAATATTCTATTAGATATGATCATAGCAGAACCAAATGATGGAAAAAATGTTTCTGTTTCAAGCCCTCTAGTGCAGATACTGAAAGACAAAGCAAAAATAGGTCACAGAGGAAAAATATCCTGGATAATATTAAAACCAAAGCCCTTGTTCCTAAGTAATTGAAAGTGGCTGTTATTTACTTGATGGGAAATCCAAGTCATGATTAATTCACACTGAGGCTAATTTAAAATAATGGGGTAGTAGTTATTGATTATAACTTTTAAAAGCTATAACAAAAAATTTGTTAGCTTTTTTTTTAACTTATAGAAAGCCAGTTGAAAATACTAAACTTGCTTTGACAAACAAATTGTATTTAAAGCAAAGCTCTGACCTACTGGTAGTTATCAAGGGAATCAGTAAAGTGTTTAATTTTTCCATTCCAAAAAAAAAAAATCATAAGGGAGCTGGGCCTCATGGCACACGCCTATAATCCCAGCTGCTTGGGAGGTTGAGACAGAAGGGCCATAAACTTCAGACCTGTCTGGGTTACAAAGGGAGCTCAAGACAAGTCTGGGTAACTTAAACTTACTTACTTACTTCAAAGGGAGTTCATGTCCAGCCTAGGTAATGTAATTTACTTATTTACTTAATTAATTAATTTGTTTAGTTATTTAGACAGTCTCACTATGTACCTCTAGCTGGCCTGGAACATGGTATGTAGACCAATCTGGCACTGAAGTCAAAGATTCCCATACCCTGTGCCTCCGGAGTGTTGGGATTAAAGGTGTGTGTGCCACTACATCTGGGTCAGCCTGAGTAACTTAATGGGAACCTATCTCAAAATAAAAAAAATGAAAACAAGTGTTAAGGACATAACTCAGTGGTAAAGCACTTGCCTAATATGGGTAAGGCCTTAGGTTAAGAAAAAAAATGATAAGGTTGACAGTAATTTATTACCTATCTTTTAGAAGTAAACATGAAAAAGCTTAAGAGGAAAATGCAGGATAAAATGAGTATTTCTTGAGAATATTTTCAACCAATACTATTTTATCTGATTTAGTAGGTTACTGTTTAGAAACTTAAATGAAACATTAATAAGGTACTGGGAAAAGAACTGCAGCTAAAATAAATTTGTTTTTCTCATTGGCTTTAATCACAATGGGTGTGTGTGTGTGTGACCTTGTGTGTGCATGTGTGCGCATGTTTGTGTATGGTGTGTAGTATGGTGTGGCATGTGGTACTGTCAGAGGTCAGAGGAAATGGTTTGCTCTATCTCTCTCCATCCTATTTCCTTGAGACAGGGTTTTTTCACTGAACCTGGAGATCAGCTGGTAGCCAGCAAGCCCCAGTGATCCTCCTGTCTTTACTTATGCCTGGCTTTTTACACGGATACTAGGATTCAAACTTGGGTCCTCATGCTTTCACAGAAAGCACTTTTACTCACTGAACCATCTTTCTAGCCCACTGAATCACAATTTTTTTTTTGTAGTGCTTGCAATTGAATTTAGGGCGTTACACATGCTAGGCAAGTATTCTGCCACTGAACTATATTCCCAGTCTATTAATCACAATTTCTAAAGGTGTCTAAAGATGTCTTCCTACTGGGGAAAAATTTCAGAAATAAAATGAAATTTTATGGCAGAGATGATTACAACAATAGTGTTAGATTCATGACATGATGAGTAATGTTATGTTAGAATGTTATTGCAGCATATTCAAAGCTAAGGATTTTCTCCAGCTTTATAGATGATGCTTCTTTCTGTTTTTCTTGAAATCAGAAGAAGCTCTCCCAATATACCTGTAGCTTGAAAAGATTCTAAGTCATAACATCAGGTTTTATTTTTTAAAAAAGCAGTTCATCTATAGTTACTTAAGTACATCAATTACACTGCATTTCTTTAAAATGATGGAATCTCATTCTAGGTGATAAAGGTAGCTTAGCTGCTGTTTTCTGGGTTTATCTCTAAAATGAGGATACCATTGTTATGGGAATTAAATAATTCTTGAAAAGTAAATGGAAATAGTTCTAACATATACTAAGTATTCAATAAATGTCAATTCTTTTTTACTATTATACAATAGAATGGTTATACTCACTCTTTTGTTGAGACAAATGACAGGCCACAGGCTGCATCCCAGCGTGCAACAGCAGCAGAGACATCCACACAGCAGCCATTTCACATTGACTGGGAGAGCCTTTTTCAAACATGCATTCACACGGCCAATGCTGGTCTTAAATTCTTCTGGAGCCACCTAAAACAAGGGTACTAGCTTTAAGAGTTTGTGGGCAGCTTCCCACTATCTCTAATTCTGTCTTATCTCGAATATTTTAAGGAATTATAAATGTCTAAATATGGCCTTTCCATAAATATATGTCACATACTCTGGAAGACATTAGAAGGTAAAACAATATAAGTTCATGCTCACATGACTAGGCGTAATATTCACAGTCTTTCGAAATGAGACCAACCATAAAATGAAAGCAGTAAAACTGATGGTTAAAGGAAACCCATCAAGCAGTTTTACTATCAAATATTCACGGTAGGGCAATACTGTTCACAGTCCTCAGGTACTCCGACTTAAAGCTAAGACTGAAAGCATAAGACAAGAATAAAGACTTGAAATATTACTAGAGGGACAAAAATTAAAATTAGACCCTGATAACAATCAAATTACTTTATAAAAAGTAACTCTTAAAACATTTGTTTCCAGCATATTTGCAAAACAATAATTAAGACTTGTTACTGTTTGCAGGGAAATATTTCATTAACAAAAGGCCCTGATAATTACCTTCAAAACAGCCTGCTAATATTCAGAACAACTTGCATTCATAGCTGCTCTAAATTTTGAGAACTGAAAAGTCTTATACAAATTTAGTATTTCTTGTTATACTACATCCATTCCTAGAAGTGGTTCCTTGTACCTCTCTATAAACATTGACAAAGTCAGTTCAAAGGCATGTGCATGATCTGCATACTTAAGAGTTATAATAAAAACTCTGCTAGGTTATACAACTCAAAGGTATGCTAAAAATAGTTTGCTTTCAGTGAAATCACATTACTGGATCACAAAAATGATTCCACTTTCTTTAAAAAGTTGTCAGACTGTAAAATTCATAGGTAAACATTTTTAGCATCTGATTGTGAAAGCAAAAACTGTGATATTGTTAGGAAAAATAAGCTGCTGTAAAAAAAAAAAAAGAGCTGGGTGTGGTGGCGCATGCCTGTAGTCCCAGCACTTGGGAGGCAGAGGCAGGCGGATCTCTGTGAGTTCAAGGCCAGCCTGGTCTGCATAGTGAGTTCCAGGACAGCTGGGGCTGCAGGAAGACCCTGTCTCAAAAAGACCAGGAAAAAATAAATAAATAAAAAATAAAATAAAATAAAAGCCCCATTGCTATGTCTGGCATCAGAAACATAAGAGCTTTAGTCATTCAAATGAAAGGCTGTACTAGAAGAGGCCATTTGTTAAACTTTTTACTTTTAATGGAGATGTCTTAGGGACAATGCAAAACATACTTATTAGTAGCTGCTATGAAGATATATGATAACAATTTAATACTATCATGACTAAAACATTAAGTATATAAGCTTTATTAGGATTATTTGTGTTACCCATTAGCTTAGCCCAGGAATTGGATAGTCTTCCTAAAAGTGAACAGTTTTGAAATTGTGAGGCTTAAAAGTTTGTCTGCCTGTGTAAATGGATTTGTCTTCATCTGACTTGTTAGCAATATATACCAAGAATTCCAATTTGTTAACAAAATTTTGGGGGTAAATATGAAAATACATTCACAGAGCCATGCTTTATAATTTCAAACAGAAAACATTAACATATTGTCTAAGTATATTAGACAACAAATCAGAAGACTTGGCTTCTACTTCTTACTACCCCTTACAAAGTCCCAGGAAAAAGGCATTGCATTTTTCTGAGTTTCAGTTTCCCATCTATGAAACTAAATGATAGTCTTTGTTTTATATACTTTATATCTTAGAATTTCTTGACTGGAATACTTTGGAAAAGAAAGTCTGTAAATAATGTTTCAGTTTTGGAGAAAGAAAGGCACAACTTCTCTGAAGGCAAAGGGTCTGATCAAGCAAGTTTTAATATTCCACAGTTTTGTTACACATTATCTTATAAATAAAAGGATAATCTGCTACATTTTGAAGGCAAATTCAATGCTTTTTGGTTCTTGATTTTTCAGAGATATTCCTCCCCTCCCTCTCCCTTCTTCTTTCCTCTTCCTTCTTTTCCATGCTAGAGATACACTCTACCACTGAGTTACACCTTTTTTTTTGATGTTCTTTTAAAAAGCAAGGTTCCAAGTTATTATCTAAAGATTTACCTCTCCAAATCAGCAATATTCAACTTCTTAATTCCAGGGAATCACTGAGCAACCAAGTAAAAGTTAAAGTAGTTTCAATCTCAGAACTTTAGGAACTCATATTCACCTTCTGCCTGAGAGAAAGGGCATAGCTCTTAGAGTTCTGAATAGCTTGAGCTCTTCTTTCCCTGCCACACATGTTCTTGCTTCCTCACAACTGTGTGATATTGGTTCCTCCTATGAACACCCTGTCATGGGTTTTTCCTTCCATGAGGAAAAAATATCCATAATAAATGAGGTAATGACTGTAAAACTTCTTAGCATAATACCTAGTATATACTGTGTGCCCAGCACATGTAGATACAGTCTGTACTCCACAGCGAAATTACAGGCAAAGCAAGACTCTTAATTTGTGTTCCCTAAACCCTATCAGCCTGGACAATGTCCACATTTCCTGAAAAACATGTACTTGTGTGTCATGGTCTATAGAATGTTCAGATAAGAGTTTTTCTCTACTATCTTATCTCTTATTCCCCTTTCTTCAAAAAAAAAAAACCCCAAAATAAATAATAATCCCACTGAATATAACTTGTCACTGTGTGACAGAGGTAATTTTGATTATAAAAAAGAAAAATTTCATATTACGACAGTCACTTTCCAGAAAACGTAAACTATTTTCTATCTCAGAATGGTAATTTAGGGAAGACTTGCTCAGTTTGTCATCTTAAGATAGCTCTGGGGCTGGCAAGATGGCTCAGTGGTTAAAAGCATTGTCTGCTCTTGCAGAGGACCTGGGTTTGAGTCCCAGCACCCACATGGCAGCTTTGAACCATCCTTAACTCCAGTTCCAGGAGAATCCAATGCCCTCTTCCGTCTGACCTTCCCTGTCCTTTCTAAATTACCTGCACTTGGCTAGCACCATGGAAGCATATCACAGTTGTCCAGATAAGTGAATCTCTGGTGTACTGTTTTCTAAACTTGCCTTCTAGTTCTTAATAGAAAATCCCATTTTGTGGTATGAGGAGATAGTTTCCAGTGTTTGGGTTTATTTTTAGCACTGCTTAATTTGAAAATATTTTAAAAATTATTTTTACA